TACTTATGTGTTGGGAGGGCAGCCAGAGACCCCCGCAAGGCGGTGACGATGTTTGTGGGCACCCGATTGGGCCGCCAGTGTGGCTTATGGCGGCAGGCACAAACGCGCGAGACTTGGAGACACACACACACACACATGAACGCGTCGGGCGTGGGTGAGGGGCTCCATGGACGGGCGAAAACGACATTAGATTAATACCTCACTCATGTACATGCTACACAAAAAGTCTCACTCGAGCCTCAATACTACCCTCGAGGGCCAGCAACACCTTCTCGGCCGTGGACGCAGTGCCCGTCGTGTGATGCTCAACAAGACTATAGGTACGCTCCGGCTCGATGGCATTGTCTGGTGGGTGGGCGCATCAAGCACGAAGACGTCATACGTCATCGACGAACTAGGCCCGAGTGGAGCAATCGCTTCCTTCTCCCGCCGGTAGTTTGCGCTAAGCCCAGTTGGTCTGCCTTTTCCTCCAGGGGTGCCCCGCCATGGGCAACAACCATCGTAAAAAACTGCGCAATAAATGATCGTGATCGATGACTGTGGGTATCGCGTGATATCAAGTATTATTATGTCTAGTTGGGCTCCAGATGCTGACCGAAAGCCCCGGGCTCGGTGCATAGCTCGACCCTAGGCGTGAATGGCCTGCTGGACCTGTGGGTACACAGCTACCATGCGGTGGTAGAGGTCCGGGTGCTCGCGCATGAGGACATCGGGGTCCCACGCCATCGCAACAAAGATCGTGTCGATACCGCTGCTCAACGGCGTCGTGAAGATTTTGCCTGCTGGCAGTTAGTACCTGTCCATCAGTCACCACTCTTCCAACAAACTTACAGATTTGCAGCCCGATCAGGAAAGCAAAAGCCACCACAACCGGCGTGTAGCCTCCATCTGCGTTGTACGCCGGCGATGTGAAGATGAGGTACAGGTAGGCTAGTAGTGCACATGCGTATGCGATGAAAGTGGCGCCCATGGAGAGGACAGGTCCGATCAAGCACTCGTTGACGAGCGCATCGATACCGCGATCCTTGATCATCCTGAGAAAGTCAGCTTGCCACTCCCAAATCCAAAGTCTTCCCAACACTTACTTCCACGTATCCTTCGCAGCCGCAATATAGCTCTTTCCGTAGAGTGCAATGTAGCTGAAGGCATATCTGTTCAAGAACTCGACCGCCCACTCTAGAAGAGAGATGATGCAGCCGAGTACGCAAAACAGGATTGTCCCGACCAGATTTCCCTCGCCAGACGCGTTACGTTGAGCAGCGGAGCAAACCTGTCGCAGGAACTGGATAATGGCCACGAGCAAGCTTCCAAGGCTGATGCTGCCAAAACTGTATGTCATGGCGCGCTTGAACGCACCCCGGGTTGCGCCTCGAGGCATAGCATTGGGCGCAAAAAACCACGAGCCATAGACGCCAGAAATGGTGACATGGATGGTGTTCTTCAGCCATCTGTTCTGCTGTTAGCATGTGAATTCGTTCGGGCTTGGACCATGACCACTTACTCCGAGATCCAGTACATGGCAAATGTGACAAAGACGAGGAGGCCGATAACTTTGCCATTGCCGCAATCACCAACGCCGTTCCTACAATTGGAGTTTGCTCCGTTTGGCGTATACTGTACGTAAATCGAGACCAGCGTAACCGAGTACCATGCGCCCAGTGCCGCAGCAAAGATTCCGCCGCCCAGCGAGACGAGGTAGGTATGGCCATACTTCTTCGATACGTCAATCACAGTCTGCAGCATGAGCACACTGAACGGGATCCTGGGAATCCAGCTGATGAAGCAGAAGACGTAGAAGATGCTGAAGATTAAGAAGACAATGCCTCCAGACCAGTACCGCCTGGAAAGCATGTAAATGGCCGTCACGAAGCCAAAGACGATGTTGAGAATGCCGGTGATCCAGATGAACTGCTTGGTGAACTTGCGCGCCGCCCAGATGTACGCGTAACTGAAGACGGTAGCCATACCGAGAACGAATGCGAAAAGAATAATCGTGTTGGAATTGAGCGCGAAGTTGTTAGTATCGTTGCCGTAGATGCCTCCACTGTTGGTTCGCGCTGCATCCAGCCATCAGTATACCGCTTGACGTGTCGAATCGCAAACCGATGAATGCACTACTCACCGTATCCTCGAATGGAAATTGCGCTCACGGCAACATAACCCAGAAACGTGGCGATGAAGAGCAGACCCGCCCACCAGTCATTGTACTTTGGCTTATCGAGCTTGAAAGTCTGCTCAAAGCTCTGCTTTTCGTTGCCATGGCCATTCTGCTGGTACCCGTTGTTCTGCTGCATTGGGGGTGGTCCCTGAGGCGGCGCATAGCCCTGATTGTACTGGGGAGGCTGCTGTCCATAGGGCTGACCCTGGTAGTATGCGCCCTGAGGCTGCTGGGGCGGTGCGCCGCCTGAATAGTAGTCGGCAGCTTGGCCGTGGGAAGTCATTGCGACGGGTGATGGCGACCGTGATGAAGCAAACAAGTCGCGACGACGGGCGCAGGGCGATTCGAAGAGAGGTGTAGCAGTCAACAAGGGACTAGACCAGCCAGACGGGATGATATACGGCCGGCGTCATTGGGAGCTAAATAGCATTCATCTTGGGTGCGACTGTGCTATTGGTGTGGCTGAAGATCGGCATTGCATGTCATGGGCGCCATAGGCTGGGTGCACGGCTTTGCAGGCGCGTCGTGCTGTGGCTGCCATCTTGTGAAAGACGCTATCGGCGGCCTAGATGCAAGCCGCTTGCAGGTTTCTCTGCTGCCAAACTCAAATCTCCATGCATTGGCCCTTGGTTCATCTCCTCACCCAACGCGCGCATATGCATGCACTCTCAAGTCTTTCTACCACAACGCAAACTTGCCAGCATACCGCCGAACAGAAAAACAGGAAACATGACGACGTTGACCCAGTTCGTTGTCGTGGCGCCGCGGACTCGTCGCAGCGGCTACACTTGTGGCTGAAAAGCTTGTGTGCCGATCGTCCGTTGTGGACGTCCCGATATGTCGTGATGTGATGCTACGGCACAACGGAAAAATGCCGAGTATGCCGGTGCAAAGGGATTGGCTACTTGCACAACTCTATCGCGACTACCCATGTTGTTCATCTCAAGATCATGTTCACATGGACCTATCAAATCATCTCGTGGGACTTCAGCGGCATGGGATAAATGAGATCGGATTCGTCCAAGGAAACGCGGCCGCTATACATATGTCTACCTCTAAGCCAACCCTGAACCCTCTTTGCCCTCTACTTGCAAGTCGCACCGCATGTAGGTGCACTGAAGCTGCTGCAGTAACTGGCCGTCTCGCAGGTAGATCCTACAATCTGTCCATGACAACCAACAACTAGTGCGGACAGTGTTAGCAAATGTTCTCTCCACCCAACGAAGCCGACTTACCCATGCACACTTTTCCACCAGAGCAATCAGCTCTTGTGCTGCATTTGGCACGAGCCGTCAAGCCCTCTGCTTGCTCGGCAGGAAGGGCAAAACTGGTCGCCGTCAAGAGCGAAAGTACAGTGGTGATCAGAGTAGTCGAACGCATGGTGTCGGGATTGCGAGGCTGACTAGCGTAAATAGGTGTGATATGCTTCAAGAAGATGACAAGGTAGGAGATTGCGTGATATCGCGTCGGTGGCTCGAGGAAAGTTGTTGTGATGCCTTCACGACGAAGCTGCCTTGACCTTTATACCTAGAGATCTGTAAACCAGCCAAATAGGATCACTCCTCTCCACCAAGCAAACCGAGCACTCTGTACCATGGCGAAGCAGAATAGCCGTTACGAGGTAGTATGCACTGCCAACGGTGGTGGTCCCTGACAAGGAAAGAACGTTCAGCCGCACCTGAGCCGTTACGTACCAGAATCTCCGTTGTTCCCTGCGGCACGCAACATTGACCACAAAGCAACCCTGTCGCCAATCTTGGCGCTATATGCAGGGCTTGTGGATCAACGGTTACATTGTATGCTTCCCTGAGCAGCGGTCAAACAACATGCCAAGGCTCTCTTCAGGTGGAAAATGAATGCCAAGCCGGAATACTTTGGTGGTGTGATGGGCCTGAGTGTCAAAATTCCAGCAGTTTGATTCGCAGCATGCTGACGGGTAAATTACTGTGACCACAACAACCGCTTCAACTTCTCCACTCCTTTGAAAGTTGCAAGCTGAACAGATGTACTAGACTGCTTCATCTCAGCTACGCCTCGTAGACATGCGAACAGTAACAGTCTTGGTGACTGAGCTGAGGTGGCTAGATTGAATCCTTTGTGATGATCGTACGAGACATTCGGCGACTTGAAAAATATAAAGGTATATGAACATCGACATAGAAACGATCACAGCAACCTGCTACAATACAGTCTTCAGTCACATTCTACAATAATCCACTCACTAAAACCCTACATCACCGCCTAATAAGCAACTCAACCGTCACCATGGTCGCTATCAACACCCTCATCACCCTTGCTCTCACCCAGCTCGCCATCACCGTATCTGCCGGTGACTGCAAGACCCATCAGCTCTACTGCGGCTCCACTCTGAAGTGGCGCGGTACGTCTCCCTCCCATTTCCCAACATCCAACATTTCTCTTGCTGCACACTTCCTAACGCAATCACAGGCTGGACCAACTCTGAAATCCAGGGCAAGGTCCTGCAAGACACGTGGAACAATGGCCAGTACCCTGCTGTCGACCAGATCGACAAGTCCCTCTTCAAGTGTGCGGGACAGGGCAAAACGCTCGTTTGGGCCAACGGACGCACCCCCTGCGGCAACTGTGTTGATGGCGGAGCCGGCAAGCCCGACTACTGTGCTTAGATGCTCAATCTCCTAAGTGAAAATGTAGCGACCAGGGTAGATTTCTCGTATTTCTTTGTGATTTTTCCCAGAAAAGAGAAAAGGCAACTCCTGCATGTTTCATAAGCGATACTTTTGTAGTTACACCAACCTTTATGCATCTTTTAGAGAAAAAAAGGTCTCGATTGCATCTCAACATACCACTGTCTTGTGTGGCCTTATGAAGTCTTTTCCTTCTTCTCCCTCTCTTTGCGATGTGCCCAGATGTAGAAGAATGGGTATACGGTTTCTGGCAGTAAAGTGACAATCATGCCGCCGATACTCCACCAGTTGCCCACATACGCCCAATTCTCAGGTACGTTGATGTACCGCCATATGAAAACCAAAAACGCTGTAATACACCCAAGGTATCTCGTAAGCCTAGTCTCATTAGCCTCATATCTGAAAGAAAGATGCGTTGGAGAAAAAAAAACACAACCCCGCCTAATACTCAAAAATGAAAGCAGTTCAAAAAAAAAACATACCAAATCTCAAGCGACTGCCCCTTCGTATCCCGCCTCTTGACTAGATAAAAAATCTGCCCCCACCCAATCGGCAACTCAAGATACAAGCCCGTAAAAAACGCAGTCTTCTGCTCCCTCTCATCCGGCCACCACACCCCCACCGCCCACAAAACCGCCATCCACGCCGGCGTCTGCCACAACAACTTCTTAATCGTCCTCCCCCGTTCACCCGGCGCATACGCATACTTCAGCGCCACACTCACAAACGTAACGTCGAACAAGAACCACACGAAGAAGCATGCACGCTGAAAGGCAGTGCTGGTGCAGACGTAGGCGTAGTAGATTTCGTAGGCCATGGTTGCGCTGAGGAATTGGACGGTGCCGGCCAGGAAACGGTCGCTGTAGGTGCGGATGGCGTAGAAGGTGTAGCAGAGCGTGTAGAGGATGCCGCAGGATATTATCAGGAAGTCGGTGATGAAGAAGTAGGATTCGGGGGGTGAGAGGGAGATATCGGTGGATTGCGGGATTAGGTGGTGGAGGGATGCTTTTTGGGCGGCTTCAAAGGGCATGGTTTGGGGAAGTTACTGGAGGTTTTTTAGTAGAAAAAAATGTTGTTGGTGGAACCGTGTTGGTGTGGTTATATCTTTGTATAAATATGCGGGTTTCGAGATTTACAGATATAAAGGATATTCCGGTGTTCGTGGAGGAAAAATAAGGGTGTATTTACAAGAGAGCAATTATTATTATTTCAAAAACACAAAATATGGAGTGTTGGTTCTAATGTATGTACTTCCCTATTATTTTAAACCATGAAATCACTGCTGACAATGCCCAGCTTCCGTCATGCTCCGGGCGAGCGAGGCAGTGCTTTCGCGGATGGTGGATCCAATATCCGGAAGTGTTTTATCTCCACATGATGCGCCTGACTTGCTGCCTAGTATCCGCGTCTTCCATACATCCGGCATCCGTAAGCACATCCTTTTGGTCGCACTAAACCCCATCATTTTCTCATTTCGGCTATTCCGCTTCTTATTCGTCTTGTTTCTAATAGCAAGATAATCAACATGGGGGGTAATGTGATTACAAATTCAATTACAACCACACAACGTAGGGGTGTTAAATGTGAAGTTCAACTCTGTGATGGCTGATGACGTACGCGCTGGCGCATGTCGCGAACGTCGTGTAGCCTCAGGGTATGTCTGAGTTATCCGCGCTAAGCGCAATGTGGATTTGAGTGGTATTGATATATACTACCAATGCCGATGTTGAAGTATATGGGTATATAGCACATGAAAGAAAGACCATAAACTCTGATGCGACACCTCGCAAACCTCCCTAGCATGTCATGATGTGACATTAATTGTAACGCGAGAACCTCCACGAACGAGATCCCGCATCTTAGTTTCTCCTGGGTCTAGGGCTCTTCGAAGGCCTCGGGCTTCTAGGTACTAGGCTCTCACCTTGGGTTTTCATCTTCTCCATCGCCTGCTCGACCTGCTGTTGCTTCTTCGCCACATGCCTATGTCGCTTCTCGACTTCTTCTTCAAACTCTTGCACAAGCTTACGCTTTTTCTGCCTCGCTTGCTTCGTACGCTGAATGATAGTCTGGAACTGATCAAGAAACCAATCCCCAGCATCCTCCCATTCACTAGTAGGGAGCGAGGAAAAGAAACTGGCTTGCTTGTCTGGGGTAAGGTTCTTCTGTACCAGGACAAGACGCTCAGGTAGAGATTTCTGAGCATCTTCCTCAGTCAGAACAGGAGGTTTAGCACGCGGATCGGTGTCGAAACTTTCATTCTTGAGGCTTTCATACTTCATGTTAAAGAGCGTCTCGGGGTCGTAATCTTCGATTTGAATAGTCTGAGGCTCTTCAATTGCAACTTGCTCGATTGGTGGTTGATAGCTTGTTTGTTTGGGTATCGCTTGCGCTGAAAAGGGGTACTCTACGGGTGCAGGTGGCTCCATTGACTTTACGGGTTCGAACTGGAACTGAACATAGGAAGGACCAGGTTGTTGACGATGGACATATTGCTGATTATTGGCCTCCACATGGGTATTCTGGTAGGGATTTGCAAACATTGAAAAACCAGCAGGAGTAACGCCTGCATTAGGCTGATTGTGAACGGGTGGCTGGCCGGACTGAGGAACGACACGATGTTGCTGAATGTTTTGCCTAGGTTGTTGCACAGTAGGCGCATTGGCGCGTGTCTGATCGCGGAGTTGTGCAGACTGTTCAAACAGCTGCGAAGGCTTAGAAAGGCTCTGCCTCGGGGCTGGCATATGCAGTTTCTGTTGGCGGTGGGTTGCCTGCAGCACATTTGGCTGGCCAGGCTCATGCTTGACGTTGAAGTGCTGACGGAATGGAGAGCTTTGACGGTCTTCATAACGATAATCTGACGGCAGCTGCTGCATACCATCCAATTCAGAAGGCTCGCCGTTAGTGGTAGTTGGGTATGAATCGCCCTCGACATTTGGCAGATCCAATCGTCCCGCTTGCCGCAGGAATGCAACCTTTTGAGCTTGGTCTATATGACTGAGTCCATTTTCCTCAAGAAATTCCTCATCATCTTGGGTAATGCCTTGGTTTTCCTTTTCGTAAGGATGCTCTGGCTCTTCGGAGCCCGGATTGCTTTCTCCGACATCGCCACTCACATCAAGGCCAAAGACTTGCTCATTCTGATGATAATGTTGCTCATTTTGTGGGCCACCCTCTAACTGAACAACAGATTGGTCGATGGTTGTGTCTAGGCTTTCTGCATCAGTATCGTAGGGATCACGTTTTTGAGTGTGACCTTGAGCCGAATGAACGCGTCGGGGGTTCTGCAGGACAGCTGAGCTGTTCTGAGCGTTGGCAGACCCACGTCCCAGAGCTCCAGACACTGGTGTGCGCCGCTGAGAAGGGAGTCCATTCTTGATTGATACCCTTGCATTAGCACCAACAGCTTGCCGGTCAGTCTTGGGTACGTGTTGGGCATTGGCTAGAGCATTATGCGGGCTGTTGGTGTTTTGTCGGTCTTTGACAAAGCCTTGCATGATGGATGACGTATCAACACTTTTTACTTGCCGTACTAAAGTGCAGAGTGATTCGATTACCGCGTCTTCAATTGGGTGTGGAAAGGTGAGAGTCTGACTTCGAACGGGAAAGCGCGTCGCAGATAAAGTCTAGCCTGTTGTGGTTAAGCCCCGCTTTCCAGAGCAATGACGATATCTTATCTCCGGACTCGGTGTATTGCAGTGGCTGTCAAGTTCCCTTTGCTGATTCTTGACATCTACGCCTCTGCAAGTGAATATATCTAGAACTAACGAATCTGTGCTTTTACCTTGCTTGTAGCAATGGAGGAGTGCTATCTTTACAGGCTCCCCAACGAGGTATGGCATCTTACAAGGCCATCTCATCTCATACCAACTAACCATTACAGCTGCTCCTTCACCTTTTCGCACCGATGCCAACACTAGACCTTCTGCCTTTGACTACCATTTCGCGCCGCATATACTCGCTCATCTTACGCATTTTGCACAATCGCCTTGTCACAGCTGCAGAACTGAACTCACACTCTGTACTCCTCGAATGCTTCCACCCGTCTGCGAAACTTACCGAGCCGCCTTACTTTTGCACATATCGAGGCACTGATGGCTTGAAACTATATCATGATATTGATCCAAGCGAGAAAAATGTAGGCAGACTGGGTGAGATGTATAGAATGTACTCTCGTTACCGACCACACAGACGTGATCTAGAGGCTAGTGGGAGAAGGGTAAGGCCAAGGCCGGGAGACGTTCCTGGCAGTCGCACCTTTCCAGGGACAGTGCAGGATCCATATGACAGCGAATCGGTCAAGCAGACGCTGAGCTTGGAAGCACATGAGCTATTCACGCAATTGATTGCACAAACGAACCTTGTTAAGATCGGATCGCACAACCTCTTCACAAACGTGGTTGAGGTTGAGGAGGGTGTGCTGAGGGTGTGGAGAGAGTGGCTCAAAGACGTTGCGGCGAGATGCAGAGTAGACAACCGAATAGCGTCGAATGAGGTTATCGAAGAAGTGGGTAAGGGCAAGGAAGTTGCAAGAGAAATCGTTGAAGAAAAGGCAAATCTCGAGGATCCCAGTATCTTGTGGGTGAGCCCAAGGAAGGACAGCGGTATACGCTTCAATGCGCGTGAGAGAAAGCTCCGCCGGAACTTACCCATTCTCATCAGCGCAGATGAGGATGAAGACATGCCTGTTACTTATGAAATTGAATTTGATGGTAAGTAATACGATGGTTTCTTGCAACACCGGTCCAGCTACTGACAGCATGCAGAGCTTCTCATTCGCACATCGCATCTCTTGTTAATGCTCGATAGGTCAATGCTGCAGGAGGACAATTCATCTGGCAAGGCGGTAGTTTTCGGTTCATTTGGATAGTACCAACAAACACAACGAATGAGAAAAGAGATTTACTCAATCAAAAAAGTGGTCCAGATTCTCGGCTGACGGTGGAGCCACCCCTCACGGCAACCGAATAACCAAACCTCGGAGCCGCATAGCGTATCTGCAAGACCCGCATAGAGGTGCAAAAAAAGGATTGCCCTGCTCAATTGTCAAAAAGAATTGAATCAGGTATGTGACCTCGAGGCGATTTGAACGCCTAACCTTCAGGAAGCTCCAGTGGTAGATACTGGAATCTGACGCGCTACCATTGCGCCACGAAGCCTGATTGGATGAAAGTTGTTGCAAATTGTAAAACTTATATACTTTGCAATGTTCCAGCATCAAAGGAGGAAGACGCTCTGAAGTAGTCAACACATGCAAAAATTCAACGTGAACTTCATGTTCCAAAGGCCACGTCTCGACTTCGTGGTTTCAAATCTACGCTACGCCAACTAGGTCTCTAGTACAAATCCTCGCTGCATGCATTCCTTCCGCCCCACCCGTCCCCACGTGTCGGCAGACACATATGCAGGGCTCTAGACTTAGCCCAAAAAAATGTAGATTTACCTTAAGTAACTCCATGTGCTAGGAGTTGACAAAAAAAGAAATTGTAGCTGTTCTCCGCTCCCAGAATCGAACTAGGGACCTTTCGATTACAATTGCAATTACAGTCGAACGTGATAAACCAACTACACCAAGCGGAGGAATCCAGATAACTGGGCTTGTGATTCGATGGGAAAATTTGATTGAAGATGGTATCTATTGCGCGGTGTATTATTGGGGAGTCGACCAGTACTGCGGGACTGGATGCCTGAGTTGTGTAATGCGGAGCTGACAACCCACAAACCAACAGTAGAACACCGAGTCAGAGCTTGAGAACTCTCCCTGTTTACACATCACCGAACATGCTGTCAAGTCTAGTTATCATTCAATTCATCATGCCCATATAAAGTACACGAAAATCCCGTAAGCACTCGCAGTTCCCATCATGAATGGCATCATAGCTGTGGGGTATTTGGAAACCCGAAATGAAGAAAAGCAGCAGTAGTAGTAGCAGGTCCATCGCTGTGAGCGGAAACCCTGCAAAAGAGGCTGCTGTACATAGCACATTACACTGTCCATCGATGCTCAATCCCTGAAGTCTCCGGAAAGAAAACGCGGGTATCCCTCCGAAGGAGCGCTTTCCTTGAGACCTCATTGCCATATGTCGTGATTCAAGGAGTCACGATCTGTAATGAGAGGCAGGGGTCGTTGCACCCGATCGATGTGTCTAACCCGTCAATACCGTAAACGCCGTTGAAATGCCTTAAACCAAACCTCGTACCATCGACGTGGCGTGTGGAAATGTTTGTAAAGACCGAACTTAGCACGATGGGTTAGTTGTCCTGAGCAGTCTCGATCTGAGCGTACTCCATCCAGTGACCGTTGGCTGCCTGCTTCCAGGTACGGATGCTGGCATCATCGCCGGTAGTCACAAGGAGATCACCTAAGGATATTTGTTAGCACTGCCAAGCTACAGATCTGATCAACACATACCCATCTGGGAGAAAGCGACGCGCCAGACAGCTCCATGGTGTCCAGTGAGCTCATCCTTCAAGGCAACTTCCTGAGTAATGCGACCAGGGTTCTGTTCGTTCTCGAGAGACATGGCCGGTGCCTTAGAAGCACCAGCCAGCCCAGCTCCTATGCCAGACTGCGTACTGTGCTTGAGACCCACGCGGGACGATACAGATGACGCGACAGCCGATGAGGAAGTTCCAGATGCGTGTGCCTTGTCTGCAGTGGTTGTAGTGAGCTCGTAGATGCGGATAGCACCATCTTTGCTAGCAGTTGCCAAGATATCATAACCGCGCATGGAACCGTTGGCCCAAGCCAAATCACGAATAACTTGACGCGCGCCGGTGAGCTTTGCGACTTGGAAGAATCGCTTAGCCTTATCAGTACGGAAGATCAAGACGTCTTTCATGGCAGCAACGGCGAGGGACAGTGACTTGCGATCAAGGCCTGCAGTGATAGCGGTCCAGCATGGGAGCTTCTCTTTGTGGAAAACGACCTTGAAGCCAACCTCTTCTTGTCGCTCAGGAGGGTTGTTCTCAGAAACCCAGCGCTCGGCCAAGATGGTCCACTCGTGGAGGTTGCTCTGATCTTGAGGCTCGTACACGGTCAGATAGCCATCACGCGTAATGAGCGCGAGCCATGTCTCCTGCATGATGTTCTTGAAGTCCAAAGACATGAAGGGAGCATTGGTTAGCGAAGCAAGATTGTAGAGCAACTTGAAACGATTGCCAGACAAGGCAACTTCAGTGACATCCTCTTGCCAAAGCTTGCAGCGGCCATCCTCTCCGATGCTGCCGACAACTTCACCCATGAAGGGGCCGTTCCATTTGACCTAGCATTGGATTAGCCACAAGTTATGAAGGTGGCAAATTACATGCAGACAAGCTAAACGAGGCTTGCAGCTGACAATGAGATCACTCACATCAACTATCTCGGCATCGTGAGCCTTCCAGCTCTCAACCAGGGTCCACGAATCGTCCTTCTTGTCCCAGACCTTGAGGCGATGGTCGGAACTCGCCGTGACCATGCGCGTACCAAAGTAGTTGAAGTCGACGGCAAGCACGAGGTCTTGGTGGCCATGCGAGAAGGTCTGAAAACTACGCTCAGCCGCCATGGTCTGATAGGTGCGACGCGCAGCCACAAAGGCAGTTTCGAGGTGATGGACGACTTGCTGATCAATGTGGCCTGGGCTGCCGTCGGCACAAGGCTCTTGAATCAACGGAGTGATCAAGTCCACGTGCTCAATCTCATCCTCGAACGAAACGGCGAGGTTGAGATTGGATGGGGGATGAGGCAACCGTGCTTCTTCTCGGGTGGGGCTGAGCGAAGACGACTCGCTAACCGCTGCAGAAGGCAGTTGGGACGTAGTCAACCGTCGAAGAAAACCCGGGGTTGCAAGATGTTGGCTCACGGCATTGAGCTCGTCCAGGAACGGGTCGGGCCTTGCAGAGCGGCCTGCCTGGGTGTTGTTGGTCATGATGGGTGCCAATGTTCGTGGGTCTAACGTTTCGGGTTAGTAGAGCAGGAAGAAGCCGGACCATGGCAAAACAACACCTTGCAAGAAGTTCTGCTCACCAATACACCGCGTTCGCTACTCTGCGCAAATTGCTTTTTTTTCCTTTGGTTGCTGCTCGCTCACCCTGCAGGCTAAGCTAGGATCGGTCGTTGTGGGTTGAAGGCCTATTCTGTGTTTCTTTGTCAGTTTCAACACCTTCTCAGCACTCCACGCAAGTCCGGATTGAGGTTCGACGCGGCGAGGTTCGCAAGTGTGGAGAGGTGTCGTTTCGACGGTGCTGAGTCGAGGGCACAGGTCTGCTGTTGATATTGTCGCGAGAGCAAACGGCGGACTGCAACTCACGTGCCAAGATCCGCCGTCACCTCGACTTTTTGATTCACATTACGGTCAAGATGACGAGCGTATTGTCATGGGCAGAATCACTTTCACTGTTGTCTTTGTCAGTCGCATGCGCGGGTGTGCTGGCAAACACGCTTCACGGTGACGGTGAGCCGCTAGTTGCGTCGATAGCATTCAGCGGATTGGCGTTCGTATCCTGCTATGCATTAATCCGATGGCTCGGGGATGCCTTTATGAAGCGTGGCTTCAAAGGAAAGGATCTCTGTAAGCTGAAGCAGACTGAGATGTAGGTGCCAAGCCTTCCCCTGATCACTGCATCTTGCTAATGAGAACAGACCGGAGATGATGGGAGCAGTGTGCGCAATGGTGTATCTCTTCATTATCATCTTTTTCATCCCATGGCCATTCTACAAGGACATTGTGGTCGCAACCTCAGGGGGTGGCAACAGAGATATCATCAAGGAACTGGAATTAATCGAGACGGGCAGACTTCTGCACAGGTTTCCTCACAACAAGCTTGCATCGTATTTATCAGCCATTCTCTCACTTCAGACTATTGTGCTGCTCGGTGTTGGCGATGACTTGTTCGACATAAGATGGCGCCATAAGGTGCTCATCCCAGCTTTTGCAGTTATCCCCATGCTGGTTGTGTACTTTGTCGACTTTGGCGTCACGCAAATGGTTGTTCCTGTTCCATTAAGGCCTTACCTGGGCGAGTTGTTCGATCTCGGTATGCCTTTTGTCGGAAGCTCAGTGCATTATCTGGATGCTGACTTAATACAGGATGGTTGTACTATGTCTACATGGCACTCATGTCCATTTTCTCTTCCAACAGCATCAACATTTTGGCAGGCATCAACGGCATCGAAGTGGCTCAGTCGGTGGTCATTGCAGTTCTGATTGTTATCAACGACATACTTTATCTTTCGCCCTTTACACCCTACCCTCACCCGGCGACAGACTCTCATCTGTTTTCACTGTACCTTCTACTTCCCTTTATTGGAGTCTCCGTTGCGCTATTGATGCACAACTGGTATCCGGCAAAAGTATTTGTGGGTGACACATACTGCTACTTTGCAGGCATGGTGTTTGCCGTTGTTGCAATTCTCGGGCACTTCAGCAAAACGCTGATATTGCTCCTTGTACCACAAGCATTCAACTTTGTCTACTCGGCACCCCAAATCTTCCATGTCATTCCGTGCCCCCGACATCGGCTTCCCCGTTTCAATGCACGGACTGGATTACTGGAGCCCTCGCGCGTTGAATTTACCAAACCGCTACGGAAACCGATAGCGGAGAGTCTCAAGGTGCTACACCGGCTTCGGATGCTGGATGTTGAAGTGAATGCAGAAGGGCAGGTGGTTTCGTCAAGTAACTGGACGCTAATCAATTTATGGCTGGTGTGGTTTGGGCCGATGCGGGAGGATCGGCTGGCCATGGGTCTGCTGGTATTCCAGTTCGCCATTGGCATCTTGGGCCTGTTTGTTCGGCATCGGATGGCATTGCTTATCTTCACTGCTGATAACCTGTAGACGGTTTGGGATGGCAGATTTCGTCAACTTTGGCTTGCGTGGCATAACGG